CGTACCAGACGCGCTCCACCATCGAGCACAGCCAGCAGGGAGCCAGCCACAACCCCTGTGCCCGCCACGACTCCGACAGCTCCTCTGAGGTCTGAGCCTCCCAGCAGCCTCCAGCACCTTCCCCCTTCCCAAATCCACACTGAGGTTCCATGTGTCTGCTGGAGGGAGGAAGTTTGTGCAGCCGAAACTCAGTTTGAGCTGGAGCTGCCAGGGCTGGGGTGGAGGGCAGTAAAAAGAGGTTTTTCAAATGTGTTTGTGACAAAAGGCAGTGTAAAAATAATATTGGCCCATTCCAGGATGGGAATGGTCACCTCACAAACCTTTGGCACATCCTTTGTCTCCATCTTCAACATGGATGATGGAGCAAGGGTGTCCCAGTGCTCTAAGCTGGAGGGCCATGGGTGAGAGCGATCAACTTCCGGTCAGCCCTGAGCTTGTGTGGGATCTGCTGCTCCAGCTGGATACCTGCAAATCAGTGGGGCCTGAGAATCATCCAAGAATCCTCAAATTGCTGCTGATGCTGTCACAGAGCCTCTCTTGCTGATTTTTTGAGCAGTCTTGGGAATTCAGAGAGGTTTTGGCAGGGACAGGACCTAGGGAATGGCTGGAGCTGTTCCAGGGCAGGCTCAGGCTGGAGATCAGGGCAAGGTTCTGTCCCCAGAGGGTGCTGGACACTGCCCAGGCTCCCAGGGCTCCAGGAGGGTTTGGACAGCCCTGCCAGGGATGCACAGGGTGGGATTGTTGGGAAGGGCAAGGAGCTGAGCTCTGATCCTTGTGGGTCCCTTCCAGCTCAGGACATTCTGAGATTCTCCACATGGGAAGAAACACTCAGGTCATTGAGTCTCTGGGATTTGTGGTGTTCCTGTGGCATGTTGGTCTTGGAGTGTGAAGGGCCATTTACCTAAATGCCAGGACAGGGTTCAAAAGTAGCTTAAAACAGCTCCTGTATTTTTGGAAACCTGAAACATTTTCAAGTAAATTTAACTGGGTTGTGTTAAACCACTTGCTATTTTGGGATTTCATGCAGCACATGGATTCTGGGTCAGGACTTTGATTTCATTTTGCAGTGCTTTGATTTCATCTACATCTGTAGACTGCTGTTGAAAGAGATTGAGTATTGGTATTTATCATTGATTTTGGCAAGGGAAGAACTTAAAATATACCAGATAAATATAACTTGTTCTTCTTAAGGAAGAGAGTGAACATTGCTGCTTTGTAAAGGCATTGAAAATAGAGAACAGCTCAAAAAGCTGGGCCCTGGGCATAAAATTTATTAATCAAGCACTTAAAGAAGAACTCATTCTGTAGTTCTGATATAATTAAAATTCACATTTGTTCTAAAGGAGCTATAGAAGGATATATTATCATATTAATTAAGGTATGGGAAGAAATTGTGGATTTATTTCTTTAAAACGAAACCAGCCTTGAATGGAAAGCATTTCTTGTGTGACACAACTGGCTTGCAAACAAAAATGATACATTTTACCCTTGGCCCCAGAGTGAATCCTCGTGTTTTCACTACAGGAAGATGAGACTGTTGGCACAAGTGATGCATCCATGGATGATCCTGTGGCAGCCTGGCAGAGTGAAAGCAGTTCCAGGTACCTCCACTGGGCTCTGAATTGGGAACCCTGGTTTATTATGGGATTTCAGTAGGACAGTTGATACTGAGATATTCAGCCTTCATCTTGAAGATTGATTTTTAACCAGTTAGTCATGAAACATTTCATATTGTGATTTTTTTCTCTTCTTTTTTTTTTTCAAAGTCAAAAACAATTCTAAAAAACATTTTATAAGAAGACATTGCCTTTAATTAGAGCTACTTGAAAAAATCAATCCCAGTTTGCCATTTAAATCCTGTATGTGTATTATTTGGTATTAAAGAAGTCAGAACTGGATTTTTAGGGAAGTGCTCTAGTTCTTTAAATGTTCCATGCATTTTTTGCTGCCAGTTCTTATTAAGTCAGTCTGTGAATCAGTGAGATAATGAGAATTGATATCAACCATAGATGTAGCTTTACTGTGAGTTTCAAATTGATAAAAGAATTTACTGAAATCACAAATCAGAGAGCACTTGTTTTTCTTTAAATTCACATGATAACAAAATTCTGTGCTAATCCTGAACAGAACCAGGAGAGCAGGTTGAATGTTTGGATTTTTCAGTTCCCTATGGGGAAACTGAAGTTTTCTCTTCTCTTTCTTACAACTTTTTTATTATCTACAGTGATTCATCAAGTGAATATTCAGACTGGACAGCAGATGCTGGGATTAATCTGCAGCCTCCAAAGAGACAAACCAGGCAGGCAGCTCGGAAAATCTGTAGTAGTTCTGAAGATGAAAATATGAAGGGAACAAAAGGGCTGGAGCCAAAGCGAAGGAAACTGAAACAGCCAAGGAAGAAGGTCAGCACGTGTAATTCTTAGTGTCTTTTGCGCTTTAAGAATATAAATTTAGGTTTTAGTGGTTGTTTTCAAAGTAAAATATTTTATAAATGGGCATAGATTAAAAAATATTTCTAGAGATCACAGTAATTGTGCTACCAGTGGTACCAAGAAATTTTACTGTTTGTTTTATTGGGCTTCCATGTTTTCCACAGGTGGTTCTTCATTTCAAATGCCATTTTTTTCCTCTCAGGTTTATGCTCTTCACCACAGTCAAGTTTACAACAGGGTGGTTTTGTTGTAAAATTATAATGGATCTGTATTGTATTGACATGGTCAGATGTCTTTTTCCTGGTATTTTTTTTAAAGACATTTAGAATATTTATAAAAATACAATTTATTTCTTTATTATAGAACCACAGCCTGGCTTGAGTTGGAGAGGTCTTAAAGATCACCTTATCCCACCCCCCAGGCTTGGGCATTTTAATGATTTATGGATGTTTTAAGGCATTTTAATGATTTATGAAGGTTTTAATTTTCAGTTATATTTATAACAAACCTGTCTATTTAGTGGAGATTTTGGGAAGGACAACACTCCACAGTTTGCTCTTCCTTGTATCTTACCTGCAGCAACTGCTGCGCGATGAGCTTTCCATAGTAATTAACTGTACTCTGAATATTGTGTTGATTGCATTCTAAATTAATGCAGATATTGAACTTCTGTATGTAACTTACTGTGTAATGTCCTGATGTGTGTTTAGAAAGCCAGTGGGCTGCTGTCCCTGGAAGGGGAGCCCAGTGAGGAGTGGCTGGCCCCGCAGTGGATCCTGGACACCATTCCCCGCCGCTCGCCCTTCGTGCCCCAGATGGGGGATGAGGTACTGCCCTGCCTGGCTTTGGAAAGCCAGGTGTCTGCTGAGGGAGGCAGGAGCCTGCCCTGAAATGGAAAATACAAACCCCCTCCCTCCGAGTTGTTGTAATTTTTAAAATTAAGGGGCTCTCAGGCAAAGATATGGGAGCAGGGATAACAGTTCTTTATTAGGGAAGACAAAAAAACCCCAAAACCAATGCAATAATACAAAACAACACTGTCAGAGTCAGAACACGACCTGACACCCTGTTGGGATGGGTGTTGGTGGCAGTCCCATTAAATGGTGGCTGGAGCCCTCCTGGAGTGACAGATGTGGTTCTGTAAAGCAGTGTTCCTGTAGAAGGGTGGAGTTTTCCACTGAAGATCCAGTGGTGGTGTAGATAGGCCTGGTCTTCCTCTGAGAACCCACTGGGAAGGGGCTGCTCCTCTGGGAATGCACTGGGCAAAGGCTGCTGTGCTGTCCCAAAGCTCAGATTGGATCCAGGTAGGAATGCTTGGCTCCTCCCCTGGGCGGAGCATCTCCCCATGGGATGCTGGGATTGGATCAGCCATGCAGGGACACTCAGTGGCCATGGACAGAAGGTAATTAATAATCAATGGCCCATGAACAGAAGCGATATCCTGCAGGGAGGATTGGCTGTGGGAGAGATAAAGAAAACTGCCCAGTTACAGAAGATGACTGCCCCACCTCTGGCAGATGGAATAGAATACACAGCCCCATTTCCACATTCCAATCAGCAGCTCTGCTTGCTTTGGACTCTTCTGCCCAGCAATATTTGCAGGGAATTGTGCTCAGGACAGGCTGAGTTTTGATAACTTTGTTAATTCCCAGGCAGTTTGTTGCTTATAGATTGATGTCTTGTGTCTGCAAACTTTTTCTGCACAGGTAAATTGGGATTAACATGAAAAATTAGTTGTGCATCTTCACCTGCACATTTGTTAATGATCCTAGTTTTAAAGCACAGAGCAGGTACCAATTTGGCTGATAGAAATATTTTTAATTAGAAGAGTGTTTTATGATGAAATAAATAAGTGTGCAATGTGTTCTCAAAGGCATAAGACCTGGTATTAGGAGCAGGAAGAGCACAATCATTAAAATAATTTGCTGTACTTTTCTCATTTGCTCTTTTTTTCTCTTTACATTTTCTCCTTTTTTTTTTTCTCTTTTAAGATCATCTACTTTAGGCAAGGCCATGAAGCTTATGTGAGGGCAGTGAGGAAAGCCAAAATTTACAGTATTAACATGCAAAAACAACCATGGAACAAAATGGAACTCAGGGTAAGTTCAAGAAATTCTTCAAAGAGCTGAATGTCTCTGTAATGTTAAACTGACATGAAAAACCAACATGAAAAATGTGAAGAAGGGATTGCTTTAAAATGCTAATATCAAAGTTTTAATTGCAAATATTAAAGTTAGTTTTTCTTAACACAAAGTCTTTACATCTGTTCGCTTCCTAGTTTTGGATTTGATTCTCAGGGCTCTCTTTCCACACAAATTATTTTTTCCTGAACACTGAATTCATTCAGAACCCTGCACTGCAGAGCTGCTTGTGGTTCTCTCACCACTCTACAGTGACCTGAGCATTTGGGTTCTGTTTCTTGTTTTTAATGCTGTGGTAAGAAATCATGGAGTAAACACCTAAATGTGTGCAGGAGTTCTCTGAAACACTGGATCTCGCTGTGGATGAGCTCCCCAGCCTTAATCCACAGTATTCCTTATTTTTTCTCGCTTTCCTCAGATTTCATATCAAGAGAAGAGCCCATATATGTGCTCATATTCATTTAACCTTGCCAGTGATTCTATTAATGAAAGTAATTGCTTTACTGGGAAAATACCCAGTTCCCAGTCCCAGATATTCAGTGATTCCAGCTGTATTTTTCCAAGGCATCATCAGTTTGTGAGGAAAAGGAAATAGCTGTTCACTTAGAATGGGCTTTGACAGGACATGAACATAAAGGCTATTGTGGAATTCCCATTTTCAGAGGAAGAATTTCCTTTTTTCCCATTGTGCAAGAGTGAGGGGCCTTGGAGTAGTTCAGGGAGAACCTTTGGTGTGCTCAAAACTGGATTTGTTCCTTAGAACCTTCCTAAATAATTTGTAGGAATCCTGTTCACAAACCTGCCAAGGGAACCTTCTTCATTTTTCTTTCTGAGGTGACAGTGATTGATTTTAATATTGGGGAAAGAAAAATTAATGGAAGAAATTACCTGTGCTGTAGAGTGGAAACATACTTGGGTTTTATTAATATGTTTCACTTAAAAATGGATATTTTTGTTTTTGGCAAGATAAAATAATGCTGTTCCATGCTTCTTGCTAACTAGGAACAAGAATTTGTGAAGACTGTAGGAATTAAATATGAAGTTGGGCCTCCCACACTCTGCTGCTTGAAGCTTGCATTCCTGGATCCAATCACAGGCAAAATGACAGGAGAATCCTTTTCCATAAAGTAAGTCACTGGAATGCTGATGACATTCTTCAAGAGCTTTCCTTGCAGTGTAGATGCTTCCCCCTCCTCCTTTCTTATTTCCTGTGCAAGGCATGATGATGGCAGTAATGGTTATCCCAAATGCATGGAATTTGAGGACTGTGCAGTTCATCTAGAACTGCATTTCTGGGTAATAATAACTTTGTTTGGTCTTATTTCCTGAAGGTACCATGATATGCCAGATGTTATTGATTTTCTTGTGCTGCATCAGTTTTATAATGAAGCCAAAGAAAGGAACTGGCAAATAGGTGAGGGTTTTTTTCCCAATTCCATGTGTTTTGCACCATTTCTGCAGCTGTTTAATGGGACACAGTGTCTTTATTACATGACGTAAAGGACTATGCACACGTGATATTGTAAAGATTATTGGAAACTTTTATTTGATGTTTGCTGCAATTCCTCTAGCAAAGAAAAAAGAGAGAAATGAGAGAAACTGCTCCAAGGGCAGTGATAACAGGAGAATCTCCTGATCTGTTGGGAATCTGAGGTGTGAGGCAGCTGTGGGTAATTCCCAGAGATGGGCAAGTCCTGCCCTGAGGGTAAGGGCTCAGTTTCTGTGCTGGAAAATGCAGGGATGGAAGTAGGGCATTGACAAAAGAGGGAGCTGATTCTCTAAAAGGAAATACTTAGCAGTTCTTGCTGTTGTTGTTTTTCTGAGTGCAATGTTTGCCCTTGCAGGGGATCGGTTTCGCAGTATCATTGATGATGCCTGGTGGTTTGGGACTGTGGAGAGTCAGCAGCCTTTCCAGGCAGAGTATCCTGATAGTTCCTTCCAGTGCTACAGTGTCCAGTGAGTATTGCCATGTCCTGGGGCTCCTACACAACTCAGAGAACTTCAGAAATAGGATCAAGAACCTCAAGAATTAGAATCTCTTTTTCCATTTAAATATGTACCCAGACACTTTATTTATTTATTTTATTTCACATACTGTACTTCTTATTTATTACTTACTATTTATTTTAGAATATTTTGAGTATTTACTTATTTAATTTTTTGCTAATTTAATTTAATTTAATTTAATTTTTAAAATTTTTTAAATTTATTCCTAAAGCAACAATTATGATATAAACAGCAGTGCAGTGACTGTATAGGAGGTACAAGAGGAAAATAGGGAGTTGGAATGTCTTATTCCTAACTGGAGTGACCTTTTGGGTCAAATCTGGTAAAGAAAAGGTGTGTCTTTATATTCAGCTCTAACTTGTGCATTTGAATGAATTTTTTAATAGCTGGGACAACAATGAAAGAGAGAGGATGAGTCCATGGGACATGGAGCCAATCCCAGAAGGAAGTAAGTGTGTGCTGGATTCCTGTCCCTGCACAAAGCAAACAGCTCTGGGGCCCTGCATTTACCCTCTGGAATTGTTCCTCTGCAGCTGCTTATCCGGAGGAGGTCGGTGCTGGAGTTCCTGTGACCCCAGAGGAGCTGACAGCTCTTCTCTACAAGCCCCAGGAGGGAGAGTGGGGCGCCCATTCCAGAGATGAAGAATGTGAACGAGTAATCCGAGGGATTGAGCAGCTTCTTTCCCTTGGTATGTTTGGAGAGAAAAGGGGGAAGGATTAACAATAGCAGGGAGGGGGCACAGGACTGGAGAGTAGATGGGATGGAGTGCTGGGACTTGAAATGTACTCAACTAAATTACTGAAAAGAGCCTTTTAAATTTCATATTTCAGTTTCCAATCTAAAGTCCCTTTTTTTTTCTGGGGCTTCATCTGATTTCTTTCAGTGGAGCTTCCCCAGTGGGTCATATATAAAGGTGAAAGAGCAAAACATATAATTAAACCCCTCAAAACAGCCAGCAAATCCTCACTAAATACCCTCTCCTCCAAATTCCTTGTAACTGGTTTGTAACCATTTAATAGCACACTGTGCTTTAAATTCTGCCTCTGTTTACACCCAGGACATGTCTGTGTTCTTACTCAGTGTTGCATGTTGTAGTATTCCTGTTGTAAGTGCAAATGCCTGTTCCTTTCAGTCAGATTAGCTGCTGGCACACAAATCTCAGATGTGATACTTAAACAAAAAGTGCTTTTTCAAGAGCAGGAATAGATGGTACAAGAGGAGGAACCCTGCCCTGTGGGTAATGACATTCTCAGCTGTAGATCTGTGTTCCTTTGCTGAATTCTTCGAAGGAAACCCCAGAAACCATTAAAAGGAATCTTGGTGGAACATCCCTTGGAGGCATCTCAATCATTGTGGTCTTTTGTTTTGCAGACATTTCTAATCCCTTTGCTGTTCCAGTGGACCTTAGTGCCTATCCCATGTATTGCACTGTTGTTGCTTATCCAACTGACCTCACCACCATCAGGAGGAGGCTTGAAAACAGGTTTTATAGGTGAGTTTGGGTTTGTAGCTGACATTTATTACATGTATTATTATGTGGAACTGAATGCTGCTTAGGGTCCCTTCAGCAACTGCAGAAGATCAGATTGGCCTTGGGCAAAGTGAATCTTCCTGAATAATGAATTCTGCTGGCCATGTTGATAAGGCAAAAGCTGCTGTAGCAGGATCTGGAGTGTTGGTTGAACACCCTGAGCCTGGCTCTGTGTTGGAGGCAGAGCATGTTTGTTTTGTTTCCATCCCTGCTGCCTTTGAGCAGGGACTTTGCAGCTGCCAGGAGGAGACTGAATGATACTGGCAATCTCAGCTTTCCCAGCTAAATTGGGAATAAATAATGTCCTGCTCCTTTTTTCCCCTCTGAGGACAACCTGTTTCTGCTCGATCTGAATCCCCAGTTCCATTTTTTACCAAAGAATCCTACTGAACATGGAATAAAAATAACATACACCTTCCTGTCCATCCCATTCCTTAAATTTTGTGTATTTTTCAGGAGAATCTCTGCCCTGATGTGGGAGGTAAGATACATTGAACACAATGCCAGGACTTTCAACGAGCCAGACAGCCCCATAGTCAAAGCAGCCAAAATTGTGACAGATGTCCTGCTCCGCTTCATTGGGTGAGTTTGGACCTCACAGACCCCACAGCTCCAATTCTTGGGATCCTTCATTGTGTTCCTTGGTTTTTGTCATTGTCCTGCAGAGATCAGAGCTGTACTGATATATTAGAAATCTACAACAAGGTGAAAGCAGAAGACCTGAGCAGTACTGATGAGGAAGAGGAGGTAAGATAATTTCCTTCCTTTTTAAAATTCAACACATGAAAGAAAAATTATTTTTGTTGAGTCTTTATTTTATGGGTAATTGCACTGAGATTTGCAGATGAGGCTGTTTAGGCTCACCTGAGACAATAAGCTCCCTGAAGTAAAAATGCTTCTTGGAACTGTCTGTCTTTAATCTTCTCTCAGTACATGATGTTTTGTGGGAAGGATGAGTAATGAGGGGAGCTGGGAAGTGGAGCTGTTACTCAGTCAGAAGGACAACAGCTCTCCATTGTCAGCGAGGCAGCAGAGCTGATTTCCTTATGTAATTCTGTGTCATTTCCCATCAGTTGATCCCTGGAGTGAAATGTCAGGTAGAATCCAGGGTGGATATCACTGCCTTGAGCTGCTTCCCTCTCCTGACACCTTCTCCCCTTCAGTGCAGTTTGAAATGTGCTGTTGCTCCTGTTGCCAAGTGCCCTGTGGTTGTTGTTGGCTGGATTTTAACCCTTTTTCCATGGCTGAGGGTTCTCCAGACCTGCCTGTGTGTGATCATTCCCTTTGCCTTTAGGTGGCAGAAGTGGATGTGGATTCAGATGCTCCAGGCACTTCCTCTGGGAAGAGACGAGTGAGTAAAATTTCTGCTGTGGTCATTTTTTAAAAAAATTTGATTTTAAAGAAAATATCTCCAGCACTCAAATTTCGATGCAACTGATAAATATAGCAAGGCTGGAGCTGAAATATTGCAGCTTCTTATGGGTTTGAGAGTTATATATGACCAGAGAAGGCAAATTTGTTTGTCTCATTTGCATATTGCTGTGCCATCAGCTCTGCTTTAATCTTCCTGGATTTCTGTTTTTAATTGGGTAATGCTTTAATTGCAGAATGCTGGGAGATTAGTAGGAACTTCAAGGGAATAATGTGAATATTGTGATACCATCTGCAGTCCTGTTTCCCTGCAGGTGAGACGAAGGGTGAAGAGGCAGCCCATGAAAGCCAGTGCTGATGCTTGGAAGGAGCAGTGCCAGCAGCTCTTAAACCTGATTTATGAACGAGAGGACTCAGAGCCTTTCAGGCAGCCTGTTGATCTCTTCTCTTACCCTGTAAGTGCAGCTTCCACACCCAGAATTGTTCCTCCTTTGGCAGAACATCCATGCTGGGCATGGCTCTGTCCTCTCCCTTTATGAGCTGATGTTTTCAGGGCATTATCTGCAACAGCTCTGAAAGTAAACTAATGATTTGAGCCACTGGATGAGCACTGAGGGGATGTTACTGCTGTAGGATTTGAGAGCTTTGATTTTCCTCTTGTGTGTTCTCACAGGATTATCGAGATATTGTAGACACTCCCATGGACTTCAGCACTGTGAAAGAAACCTTGGAAGCAGGAAACTACACCAGTCCCTTGGAATTCTACAAAGATATTCGTTTAATATTCTGCAACTCTAAAGCTTACACTCCTAATAAAAAGTCTCGTGTAAGTAATAAATTTTAATGCCTGGTTTTTTAACAAAGACCTTGGTCCTACATGAATAAAACACATGAAATAAGGTCTGAAGAGCAAAGCACTGCTTGGTGTAATAAAAATAACCAGGACACACCAATTCTGTGGTTATCAACTTGCTTTGTTCTGCTCTTCCAGATGACATCTAACATCCATTTTCATCTGGGATGATGGTCACTGTTGCAGTTGTTCCTTGCAATATTTGTAACAGAAAACTGGTCACCAGTTGCTTTTATTTTTTCAATAATTTATCCCTGTAAACAAGGCTATCAGCTTGATAACTGCGCATATTGTGGATGAGGCTACACAAAAGCAAGGCCTGGAAAGAGGACAGGAAAGTGATTTAAAGATTTTGACATCTGGTTTACAGAAATTAGGACTGAGGACATTTTGAGTTGCTTCTCTGTAGCTCTGTAAGGGTGGTGTAAGGACAGTTCACCAGGGATGTAGTGCAAAAACAAATGTGAGGAGATGTGAAATCCAATTGTTTTTCCCTTGGTATTCAAGTTATCTTAAGGCCTGCTTCCATGTTTCATGGGGATTGACAAAGGGGACAGTAATCCAGAAATTCATTTTCCTTCAACTCTGGAAATGCTTTGTGCTGTTACTAAATCCTTTTAAGAAAACACTTTCTTTTGCAAGAACACACATGGCCCATGGAAGGAAATAATCTGTAAAGAGCCTTATAGTGGAACTTCAGTGTGAATTTTTCCTTTGTGCTACAAAGTCTGGACATCTCTGTGATGGTTTTTTGGTTGATCTTCAACTTATTCAACTCTAATAAGCCTGACCATTTTCCCTCACTGCAGATTTACAGCATGACCCTTCGACTCTCTGCCTTATTTGAGAACCACATGAAAAACATCATCTCTGAGTACAAGTCAGCAATGCAATGCCAGAAGAGGAAAAGGCCTCGGTACCGAAAACGGCTGAGGAGCAGCAGCAGCTCCCCCTCAACCAGCAGAGCATCCAGGTAAAGCAGGGATGGGGGGCCTGGCTGGCACTGCCATTCCAGAGCACAGGGGTAATGTCCTTTTGGGAATAACCAGCAGCTCATTTCCTGATGAACTTGCTCTTTTGGGAGATAAAATCACGCTCAATTTGTAGTTTCTATTTCTGGTAAGTGAAAGATGATGTGGTTACAAGTGTTCCCTCTGGAGGACATGAAAGATCAGCTGTCTCTTTACCTTTTAGCTGTTGAAAGGATGTTGTGTAACACTTCCCTGCCTTCATCTGATACATTATCTAAGTAAACTGATGGTTTTAAAAGGGGGGATAAAACCTTGTCCCTGCAAACTCCTGTACCTTTAGCAAACAGCACCATGGTGTAACTATTTTAGTGTTATCACACCTGGGAGGAAGGGATCACTTTGCAGGAGAAATCAGTTTTGTATTTGAGTCTGTGGTGATAACAGTTTTCTCGCTTTGGGATATTCTGTGTTTGCAGCCCAAAAGGGAAACAGAAGCAAGTGAAGATTCAACCTAAACCCAACCAAAATACCTCACTGCCCCTGACCAGGACTAACTCTTCAGTCTCATCTCATGGTGAGGAAATCCAGCCTTTCTCTTAGAGCAGCTTGTCTGTGCAGGTTGAGTCTTGTCCTCATGAGGCACCTGCAAAACCTGCCTGTTGAAGGAGCAAGGTCGTGAAATGTGTTGTCTGTAGGTTGTTTTAGCTGAGTTTGGCTGTTGGGGAAGGATCGGGGAATTGGGAACCTGGGTCTGGCTGTGATAAGAATTATTCCAGTGACAAAAGCTCAGACTTCCTGTCTATGGGCCTCTCTCCTACAGCAGTGAAGGATAATTAATTAAATTAATTCTACTTGGGGTTACACTCAGGAGGAATCTGTCTTTCCATGGCTGCAGAGCAGCTTGGTGAGATTGCCCTGACTTGGGCTGTTGACAGAACCTCCCCAGACAAACCCTGTAAACAGAGCATAATAATCACCCTGTCCCCTTGTGCTGTCCTGTCTGAAGTTTCAGATACAGCAGAAGAACCTCTGGGTTCAGCCACTGGTGAAGAGCTGGAGGGTCAACCATCTTCATCAGGCTCAAATGCACAGAGCCGGAGTGGAAATGCCGTAGACCCGGGGAAAAGCAGACCAGTCAGGAGCAAATCCACACCAGTGAAACAAGGTGAGAAAGAATAATTCTGTGCTGTGACTGACTGGTTTCACTAGAGATGAAAGATCTTGCTTCTGTCTGATGTTTATTGCCTCAGTGTAGCATTGTTTATATTCCTAAACCATACCAAGAAATTGAACGTACTTTGCTCTTTTACTCTGTGGTGTCTTGTCTGAGGTGTGGAATGCAGATGATTCCATGTACACCTTAAAAAGTCCTTTAAAATTTTAAAGTCCTTTAAAATCTTTCCAGATGGAAAACTTGATTGCTCTTGAATTCCTACAGTTCTTCAGGAATTACAGACAGCAAACAAACCAAGAGAATCCCCACCACAGAACCTTTGCCTTCATTAATAAGCTGAAACTAAAGATGAAAAAAATTTCACAAAAATATATAAATATTTTTCTCACATGCAAAACAAAGTAGTTGTGATTAGAAGGGAAACAGTTCAGGTGTGGTAATGTGGGGGATGAGTTACTCAGAGTTTCCACCAAGGTGGGTACTACATGGGCATTTCCTGAACCCTGGAGCCTTTCCCAAGTCCACGCTCCTGTGCTGTAGCATTGCTGGATGCTGCAGGTGAGCTTTTCCTGTCTTAAAGAAGATACTTAATCTTCATTGTCACATTCATAACCCTGAAAACATGGAGGATTTTGGGTCCCAGGCCAGCCAGATGCTTTATTGAATTTTCATTTAAGTTGTTCAGCAATCCCTGTGAGCTTTCTTGTGTCACTGACTTCCTTGAGTTATGCTTTCCATTAATATTCTCTGGACTAATCCTTTTGAGAACATGCATTTGATAGGGAATAAATGCTACTTGCACAATATTATTTTTGTGTATGTATAGTTTTGAAATGGATTTTAGAGTTTTCCTGCCTTGGCACCCTAGGCAGGATTCACCTGACTGAGTTTTAGATGTTTGTGTCCAACCTGGTCATTTCAGGCTCCTGTTTTGCCTGGATCTTCACTTAACTCTTGCTCAGGAAAGTTTGCAGTCATTGTTTCCAGGTAAAAACTGTGTTTACTTTGGTAGATTTTCCTTTTAGAGCACCTGCTTGTGTCCACAGCACGTGAAGGGTGAGTAATTCCCAGTGGATCATCCCTGAGCACATCTCAGAGACAGCCAGAGAATCCCAAAGGCAACTGCAGCAAATCCCACTTTTTGTGTCCTGTTTGGCTGTGGTGTGGTGCTGATGGGGTTGTTTTGTTATTTTGCTTAGATCACTCTCCTGATGGGCCCCTCACCAACGGGGATGGCAGAGAGCCCCGGGCAGGAGTCAAGAGGAAGCTGCTGAGCGCCTCAGAGGAGGATGAGCCCCTGGAGGAGGCAGAGGAGGAGGAGGAGGAGGAAAAGAAGAGAGAATTAAAGGAAAAGTCTGGTTTGTCTTCATCAGAAAGTGGGGAATCAGGATCCAGCTCCAGCTCTGACAGCAGAAGTGGCTCTGATTCTGACTCAGAATCAACCTCCAGGACAGACCAGGATTACATCGACGGCGACCACGACTACAGCAAAGTTGTGCAATCCAAAAAACCCAAACGCAAAATCAAACGGAAACTCACCGGGGGCAAACGGAATTGGCAGGGCCGAGGCACGGGGAGGAGGGGCAGATGGGGCAGGTGGGGCAGGTGGAGCAGAGGGGGCCGAGGGGGCAGAGGTGGAAGAGGCTGCGGCAGAGGAAGAGGCGGCGGCCGGGGAGGAAGGAGAGGCCGAGGAGGCCGAGGGGCCTCACGAGGAGCCACCAGAGCCAAGCGCGCCCGGCTCGCCGACGACGAGTTTGAAAACCTCTTTGGGGGACAGTTTGGGGAGAACGTGTTTGGAGGGAGGTTCAGCCGACCCCCTCGGATCAAAACCAGGAACGAGGGCAGGAGAACTGTCCTGTACAACGACGACTCCGACAATGACAATTTTGTGCACACCGAGGATCCTTTGAACCTTGGTACTTCCAGGTCAGGCAGGGTGCGGAAAATGACAGAAAAAGCCAGGGTCAGCCATCTCATGGGATGGAATTATTGACAGATGGAAAACTTTGGAACAATTTTAAAAGAACTTCAATGGCCTTCTACTGCAGGGATTTTACCAGAAATTCTACCAAGCAAGTTGTGCGGGGACTCCACTCACGTTTTCACAGTGGTGCTTTTCCATCCTGTCAGTTTGTGTTTGTTTTAAAGCTTCAGATCTCCACACTTCATTGGTCAAAACAAGCCTTAGTCATTAGGCCTTAAATTACAGAAATTCTTCCCCACACACTACGAGTTCATCACATTACAGAGGCTTCCAGCTTCTCAGTAAGAACATGACATTTTTGAGTCACGCTTATGACTTCTCTCCCTCGTTTTGTTTTTGTATTATAGAAATAGCACCTTCTTACAGAGTTTTTATGTGGTTTCTGCCATAAATCCTTAGACACAGTAATAATTATAACTTTTGCACAATACACCAATCCTAAAGGCAGCTATAAAATGTTTACAGTTTCTATATTGTAAGAAGGATCTGGATTATTTTAATCTTCCCAGGCCAAACGTTGATGGAAATGTGCTGAACTGAAGTATGTCCATACTACAGTTTTGGGGGTCCTGATGTGCTTTCTATTGGTTCTTTATCCGTGTAAAAACAGTGACAAAGGGTTGGTGCCTTGTAAATATGTAGCAAACCTTTGATGTGGTGTGTCCTATGTGTGCATTAACTTTATTAAAAAGAGAATACTTGAGAAGTATGAATATCTAGACAAAAGGTGCCAAATGCAAAAGTTACTTGCATCTATTTTCTTTTTGTCCTCTCATATTTTTATAGTATTAATCGAGATTGTGCAGCTAAAGGGGTGACTTCAACATTTGAAAGGTTCCTCCTCTTCAAAGCATGATTTTTAATAGTAGCTCAGCTACCTCTTATTTACAACTACTGGAAAGTGAAAAGAAAATAGATGCTGTTATTCAGAGCATGGTGAAGAAGAGGCGAGAAGGAGCGTAGAGGGGTGGAAGTTGTGAGTAGCTGTATCTTCCTTGTGTTGCCACCATGAAAACAAATGCAGTGGTTCTCAGAGGTGTTTGGGGATTTGCTGTGCAGAGGGGCTGCTTGGCCCCCCTGCCCGTGCTCCATGGAAATGTGGTTTGGGCCCCTCGGAGGTGCTGAGGGAGCTGTCGCCCCCCCAGGCTGATTGTTGTGTCTCAAGCTTCCAGAAGAGAATTGCTGTTGCACTGTGCTCTTGTTGTCCTGGGAAATGCTGACTTGAGCCCCTGTGGCAGTGGTAGTGCAGTTGGTGAGGAGATCCCTGCTCTGGCTCCTCGGGGACCCCGGCGCTGGCGTGGGCTGAGCTGCAGGTGAGCAGCCTCTTCCTTCCTTCCTGCCTCTCCTGGAATGCATGTGGGATTCCATTTCCTCCCCTTGCCTGACAGTTCAGAGCCAGGTTACAGAGAGAGCAAGTCAGAACAGACTACAAAGTTCCAGTGGAGTTTTTCAAGGTTTTTTAGTTTTTTTTTTTTAAGCTTTCATCCAATATCCTGAAGTTCTTCTGTGCACAGCTTGGTCAATAATTCTGGAAAACCTCAGGCAGCAAAGAGTGACCCATGTATATTCTCAGATGCAGAAGGAATTTAATTTTTGACTTTCTATATTAAGCACTAGCTATTTTATCTCGCTTTCCAAAAAAAAAAAAAATCCTAGTTAAATGCAAAAATGACTTGAAAATAAAAAAGCAGAGGTTTAGTTTTGTGACGGAGGAGAGTATATCCTAAATTGCTCATTAATATGAGTTTATGGTACAGTACAAAACCCACACTTTTAATTTTGTAAGGAATGTTTGGAATCAGCTGTAATCCATTGCTAGACTTGATTTGGTTTTTGATGGGGGGGTGGGGAAAAAACCAAGTGCAGAGGCTCTCCTAGTTCTGTGTTGGGCTTTAAAGTATAAACACCTGTCCTATCATCTCTCTCATATATCTGTATATATACACGCATTTATATTTATAAGAAATGTATTATTTGTTTGACTGATTGGTCCTTTTACATATGGTAACCAGGAATAGCATGTATGCATCAGTCCATAGTTGGAATCATATCCCTTAGATCAGTCCTGTGAGCTAATGTAAACACTATGGGTTCTATCCTAAAGCCTGAAAAGCTTGAAAATGCAAAAGAAATGCTTTTATCCTCTATTTCTGACTGGCCGAAAATCCACTTATTCCTTATTTATTTTGTGTAGGGGTCGGGGAGAGAGAAACCACAGGGATTCCAGAGAAATTATTTTATAAGTTGGTGTATTTTAGCAGCAATTAGAGTGAGATTAAATATGTTCTTAACTGTATCTTTTCTCTGTACTGTGAAGATACCAGTGAAGCATCACTTTGCTGTGGCGTAAGTATTACTGTGTCCCATGACTATGAGCTAGAGCAGGGGGTGCTGGGACAGCAGAATTTAGTGTAAAAATTGAAAAAAAAGCTTCTTTTTTTTTTTGTGCATGAGAACCTTTTATAAGCATGACAAATAACTTGGGTTTAGAGCTGTTCTTTTTGCTTGGATTTGTGTCTGGATCCTTTCTCTGAGTTGGGCAGTTGATTTCTCATAGTTCTGTGGAAATAATTACACTTTTGTAGGAACTTGGATGCTCTCAAATCCCAAATCCTATCAGGAGCCACTTATGGGTGTGGTAAACTTAGGATGAGCCCACCAGGTGCAGCAGAAGCAGGATTTAAAGTGATTTAAACCAACCAAAAGCTAAGCTCTGGGCAGGCTGCAGAGTCAGGAATGTCTTTCCTTGAACTCTGAACAAAAACCTCGAGGCTCTGCCTAAGGAATGGGATTTAAGGTCTGATTGTGAGTGGGGTTCCTGGGGGTGAGCAGGCAGGCCAGGGGCTCCTCGGTTCCTGCAGATGTTTGGGCACTGGTGCCTCTGTTCCCTTGAGATGTCCCATTGGCAGATCCAGTCCTGAGCTGCTGGGACACCTTGGGAAAGGCCCCAGGCCCCACACTCCATCCTGCACAGGCAGGGCTGAAATCCTGGGTGTCTTTGCTCTCAGCTTCTCCCAGCCCCAGTCCCCTGTCCCTGCAGCTCCCCTTTCTCTGCAGAGCTTGTTTGGCTGTAGTGAGGTGCTGTTCTCTTGGATATTAGGGAAAATATTTTCATGGAAAGAGTGGTCAGGCATTGGAACAGGCAGCCAGGGAGGTGGCAGAGTCACCATGCAAGAACTGAGCACATGTGGCCCTTGGTGGTTCAGTGGCCATGATGGGATGTGGTTGAAAGTTGGACTTGATGATCTTGGAGCCTTTTCCAACCTTAATAATTCCATTATTCAGCCCAAACTTCACCCGCTTTTTATTTTCTCCATCACCATTTATTTTCCTCTTTGCCATGCCCCACCTCTGTCCTGTAGTTTCCTTTTATAGGCTATTTATTTATTCTCTTGGAAACTTTGGGTATCATGATGAATTTTATTTTGGCTGCCAGGCTGTTAGGTTTAATCCAAACCTTTCTGTTGGTGCTTGAACTCGGATGAATTTATTTGAGCAGTTTTATTCCTCCTCCCTCTTTCCATCACTCCTTTCTCCATCAGCCAAGCAGAGGCCACCCCCTTATCCCAACCACCTCCACCCTGCAGACACAAAAACTAAAAACAACTGGGGAGAAATAATTCTTGGAGGATGTTTGGCTGCTTCATATTCTGAATCCTGTTTGCATAGTTTAATTTTCCTGGAATGTTTTCCTCAATGTGCATCTCAGCTGCTCCTCCTGTGGGGAAGCAGAAGAGCTGAGTAGTTCAGAGAGCATGAATGGAGCTGGCACCAGGGGTGTGGCAGAGAGTTTTAAATTAATTTTAAAAATTAAAATATTTGGAGGCTCTCTTGACTCCCAAAACAAAGATGACCTTTGCAAAGCATTTGGATCTATCGGGAATGTCTCTGTGCTCCAAATAACAGAATATTAATGTAAAAAATCATTTTAAATCACTAATTTCTGGTAAAAAACTTGATTCATTCCATCCTTGAGAGGTGAACACCAGGGAAGAGTGAACAGCTGTAGGTTTGAGGATGTTGTGTCCTGATATCTGGAGCGTCCTGTCATGAATTCCATGGGTTAAAAACGTCTTTGTGTGTTTACATGTCTTAATTTTATCTTTTTATTTAAAAAACATCCTGCAGAGTTTTATAAAATACTGATGATTTCCTGAAGGAGCAGTTAACTCTCCAAGGCTGACTCTATATTTAATAGGTAGGGAGCTGTTGTTGTGTTCTTACAATGTGTATTATAGCAAATCCCTGCGCATGAGCGACAGAGACTTTTCAACTCTTCAATATATCCGAGGTTTACACATGGTAAAAAAACTCCTTTATGTACAGTAAGTAACAGCCTGCAAAATTTAGTCTAAAAACTCGTCTTTTTTAGTCTTAGAAATGCAAAGACCTGTTGGAAGCTTGTATATTTTTACTACGTCGCGTTCGGCCCACAGCGAACTCACACAACTGTGCTATGGATCCCTGAAAAATTTAAATTTCCAGTGGGAATTGCTGTCACAGCCTTAACTCTAGTGTTCTAAAAATGGTGCTGAAATACATTTTTGTGTGTGGATGTGGGTACCTGATCCGAGTCTGTGAGACTTCCAAGGCAAACCAAGCACTTGGAGTTACTACTCCTGGTAGTAACTGCAGCCACGCTGGGGAGCTGGCAAATGTGTAAATAGTTGGGAAATAATTCCACCAGTGGGAAATCAGGAGCAGTTCCTGGGTTTGGGGGTTTTCACTGGCAAGCACTGCGGATCTTCCTGGGTTTGGGTCTGTGAGGAGCTGTTTGGGGGGAGGGAGGTGAAATCCTGCCGGAATATTCGCAGGTAAAATCCAAATCTGCAGTTTCTCTTCCTAAAATTCTTCCTCAGAGAGTGGTGGCTGCTCGGGTGTGTTCAGAACTCAGTGTCTGAGGATTATTTTTCTGTAGAAATATTAATTCAGGCTCTTCATTCCTCCATGAGTCATTAGAGCAGATTTCATGTAGAAATACCACTTGATGTCAGAGCAAAATTCACATGATTTAGGCTCTCCAGGTCGTGTTCTGGATTTAAAATACTCCAAAAAAATGCACAAAACTATTAGAATTATGTCTACTTTCTATATTATTTTTTTTCAGGTGATATTTATGCCCATATCTTCACATCTGCTATCTCAGGTCCCTTTAATGAATACTTCAGGGATTTTGATGCCACATGTTGGCAGACCAAATGTAATATTTATATGCAATGAGCTGTTAGTTTTTTGTATTGTACAAATGTAAATTTGTAAAGATTTTTTTCTAGAGTTTTTTTGAAGTCACTGATGTAATCTAGGATGTTTCATTTTCCAGCTGTGGGATTGTCTTAATAAAAAAAAATAAAAAGAGAAACTCTTACTTTGGTTTTGCATTGCTTCCTGAGTAGTTGACAAATTAAAAGGTTAAAAAAAATGGTAGATAGAATGGAGGTTTTAAGGTTAAAAAAGTTTGCTTTTTGATGCAACTGGCTAATTTTATAGTTTTAATTGGAAGTTTTATAAACTGGATATAGAAACATTATTTATAAATGGATTGAGAAGCTTATATACACTGTGAAGGTCTTGAGCAGGATGGTATGGAGACCCTCCCCCCCATCACCATCCGATCTGGCTCCAAAATCCCATTTTTCTGGGAAAAAAGGGTAAAAGCAGCTAATGATCTCCTGGAAAAAGAAGGGGAATATGCCTGAAAGTAATGTGAAATGGCTAAAAATGCCATGAAAGGAGCAGGGGAGGAGGAGGAGGCTCTGGGCAAGGTTCCTCAGCCACTGTGGGACACAGGTGGGTTCAGGGGGTGAGAGCTCCAGGGGAAGGTTGTACCTGTTGTTACCTAAGGGATATTTCATGGGAAACAAGGAATTGCTCCTCTGCTCTTGCCCTTGATAACCAGCAGTGATAAGATTGTTTAAACAGGGATTTTGAGGGTGGATGGGGCTGGGTTTGGGCAGAGCTGCTGGGGGAGGCTCCGTGCTCAGCCAGGGGCAGGTGCTGATAATAAATACATGGAATAAATATTCTCAGCAGGAATTTCTTCCTGGAAAGGGTGGCCAGGCATTGGAAGGAGCTGCCCAGGGAGGTTTGGAGTCCTCACCCCTGGAGGTGTCCAAGGAAGGACTGGAGGTGGCACTCAGTGCTCTGGGCTGTGACAAGGTGGGCATTGGGCACAGGTTGGACTCGGTGGTCTGGGAAGCCTTTTCCAGCATTAATGATTCTGAGGTTCTGTCATTCTAATTTGACTTTTCCCCTCATTAATCTGCTGACTTATTTGACATTTCACTTTATTGTGCTGATTCCTGTGGCATTTCCTCTCTGATGGGAATGAATATCTCCATTTTAACACAACACTCATCTTCCAAACCCTAGGGACAAAAGGGCTTTTATTCTCTTTTTTTTTTTTTTAATTTTTTTATTGATGGTTACAGAAAACAAAATTAAACTTGTTTGGCAGAGATGCTGGAGCCCCCCTTTATGTACATCCATCAGATGGCATTGGAGGGAAGGAATTCTACTCCCTTCAGAGCTGCTTGACCTTTGCTAAACCTCCCTTGGCTGTCCCTCTGTCGATATTATTGATTTGATATTATATTGATATTATATCATAGCCGTTGTACACTTTATATCATCATGTTTAGGTCATATGGGATAATGCATGTTATAAAATTCATTATATAAAATACCAGAGTGGTAGAGGACAACTGTTTTTCCCTGTGCACTTTGGAAATGAGTTTTGTAGAAGCACCTTTTAAAAGGTATTTTTTTATAGATGTCTTAGAATTCAGCTGTGATTTTTATTCATTTCAGCAGCGAGTGGACTCAGCACTGCCTTGCAGTGATGTTGGGACAGCTGGGTCATCCCAACGCCCATTTCCATCCTGGAGAACCCCAGGAGCATCTTTTTGAATTCACCCTCACCACCGGAGCCTTCCCGAGCTGCAGAGCAGGGAAAGGCCAACTCTGCCTCCATCCCTGTCCAGTTCCCAACAGGAACGGCGTGACCCGAGCTCCAGGAGTGTTGGACAGCGCCTCGGGCCAGGGTGGGATTTTGGAGGATGCTGCTGTGCAGGGCCAGGAACTGGCTGGGATTTTGGGGTATGCTGCCGTGCAGGGCTGGGCGCTGGATGGGATTTTGGGGGATGCTGCTGTGCAGGGCCAGGAGCTGGGTGGGATTTTGGGGGATGCTGCTGTGCAGGCCCGG